GTAGAAAAAACACTCAATTGAAAAGTAGGTTTGAACTCAAGGTTGGTGGTTCAAACCCACCAATCGCTCCTTGGAAACCCTACGCAGAGTCACTGTGAATCGGAACAAACTCAAGGCAGTTAGCAACAACAAACCTGTCAGAAGTGGCCTGCTTCTCCTTCTTCCTATTCTGTCTTAGTCTAGAAGCACCACTGAAATACCCAGTGGAATAGCTTCCAGCATCACAGCAACACATAATATTACAAACTGGCAGGTGAGTAGTGATGGATTGATGGTAGAGTGTTAGAATTTGAGGCATTTAAGGTTTAATACTTGAATTATGTAGAAACTGAAAATAGAGTTCATTATGAGATAATTTATTTTGAGGAACAGGGGAGAGTATCTTGGAAGTTAAAAGATTATTAAGGAAGGGAGGATGAAGCATTAAATACTCTTCTTGACAATTTGTTAGGGCCCTGGTGATGGTTAATGTACCAATAAAAAATAACTTTGTGCTTCCATAGGCAGGAAGCATACCTGCTCCACATTACTAAAGTCAGAGTTAAATTTCAGGAGAATTTAGAAAGCTGAACACTACAGCCTTCTCTTGTTCAATCCAATCTCACCAGATCACAAGATCAGACACTTAATATATCTTAGGTCAGCATTTTCTGATTTAACCTCGATCCCTAACCTACTTGGAAGAAGACAGGTAGTAAGAAAGGAGGAAATAGAGGTAGAAAAAAGGATGAACATTAAGAGATGTCTCAGAATGTGTCATTCATGTTGGGGTAAAACTAGGTTAAACACCTACTTTCCTGTGAACTCCATCTCAACTCTTTTCTTGCTATTTTAAATATCTTGTAATCATAGATATTGAATTTCATGAAGACCTCAAGAAATTTCCTTGGGAATGTCAGGGACTCCCTGTGTAGCGTGTTAATTAGCCTTGGTAAGATGTATTTAAATCTAAACAATGATAATTAAGAGCCATGCTATTGCCTCTAGTTTCTTTTCTCATAATCTTATTTCTGGTACCATTATTTATGGTATTAAATGAAGTAAAAAATAATCTGAGGTTGAATCATAAATATCTGCTTGGTTTCTGACTAACCCAATGGATAGCAAAGTATTTATCTCAGCATGACTCCATTTTCTCATCTACAAAATGAAATAGATAACTTTCAGGGCAATTTCTCATCTGCAAAATGAAACATAGCTTGCTGGGTAATTCTGAGAACAATGTGATCATCATTTCAATTGATATATTTACCAATGGAAGGTAAGCAGATCCTATAATAAGTCACCATATAAAGAATCTGTACTATCTGTTTTCCTTACTTGTGCTTTGGCCTTGAGAAATTCACTTGGGTTCTGAGTTGTGTTTTTTGGTTTTTTTTTTTTTATGTTTTATTGTGAGTTATATGATAGTTTACATGAGAGAACCTCAGTTCCATATTCATTCCATCGTATATCATTACATTGCCATGGTTCCAATCCCCTCCATACATCGTCTTCTGACCAAAGGGCATATCCTAGAAGCCCGTGCTCTACACTCCC